AGGGGCCTGCTGGGCTGCGGGAAAAGCGGGGAAAAAAAACCCCGGGAATTCCTCCGGATCCCATCCGGGAATTCCCAGCCGGGAATCCCGGGGGAGCCCCAAATCCCGACCTTGGGAGGCGGCTCCTGGAATGTCGGCGGCTCCAGGATTTTGGGAGCGCGGTGCCGGTTGTTCCTCTCCTGCTCCTGGGCCAGCTCCTTCTCCATCAGGTAAATGTCGCTGCGGAAAGGGGAGAATCCCGGGAATTCCCGCCTCGCATCCCGAATTTTCACCGGGAAAGCACCCAGGGAGTGGGAGGGGCAGAGAATTCCCGGGTGAATTGCGGGAGGGGAATTCCCGGGGATTCCCTTTTCCCGGGAAGCCGAGCTCTTCCGTCCCCTTCCCATTCCAAAGGGTCTCCCATGCTCCTCCGAGCCCAAAGTTTTCCATAAAAACTCCCAATCCGAGGATTTTCCCGGATTTTTCATCCACATTCCCAACCCCTCCTGTCAAAAATTCCCAGAATTTCCTTGGAAAGGATCTCTGATGCTCCTCCAAGCCCAAATTTTCCATAAAAAAACCCTGATCCGAAACTTTTCCTGCATTTTTTCATCCACATTCCCAACTCCTCCTGTCCAGAATTCCCAGCCTTGGAGGGACCCTTTGGAATGGGAACGTTTCGCTTCCCGGGAAAGTCTCAGAACCCGAATTTTCCATAAAAAAAACCCAATCCAAAGTTTTTCCTGGATTTTTCATCCACATTCCCACCACCTCCTGTCCAAAATTCCCAGAATTTCCTTGGAAAGGATCTCTGATGCTCCTCCAAGCCCAAATTTTCCATAAAAACCCCCGATCTGAATATTTTCCTGGATTTTTTCATCCCCATTCCCAACCCCTCCTGTCCAGAATTCCCAGAATTTCTTGGGAAAGGATCTCCAAAGTGTCTCCAATGCTCCTCCAAGCCCAAATTTTTCCATAAAACCCCCCGATCCGAATCTTTTCCCAGATTTTCCCCCCACATTCCCGCCTTTCTGGGGATCCAGCGGAATTCCGGTCTCACCTGAGGCTGCAGAGCAGCTCCTGGAATTTGGGCTCGGAGGAGCTGTGGAAATCCTTTGGAATGGGAAAGTTTCCCTTCCCAGGAAACGGTTCAGAACCCGAATTTTCCATAAAAAACCCCCAATCCGAATCTTTTCCCGGATTTTTCTTCCACATTCCCGCCTTTCCATGGAATTCCCGTCTCACCTGAGGCTGCAGAGCAGCTCCTGGAATTTGGGCTTGGAGGATTCTTTTGGAATGGGAACGTTTCGCTTCCCGGAAACGGCTCAGAACCCGAATTTTCCATAAAAAAAACCCCAATCTGAATCTTTTCCCGGATTTTTCATCCACATTCCCTCCTTTCCATGGATCCAGTGGAATTCCGGTCTCACCTGAGGCTGCAGAGCAGCTCCTGGAATTTGGGCTTGGAGGATTCTTTTGGAATGGGAACGTTTCGCTTCCCGGAAACGGCTCAGAACCCGAATTTTCCATAAAAAATCCCCCAGATTTTCCCGGATTTTCCCTCCACATTCCCGCTTTTCCATGGAATTCTGGTCTCACCTGAGGCTGCAGAACAGCTCCTGGAATTTGGGCTCAGAGGAGCCCTTTGGAATGGGAATGTTTTGCTTCCCGAAAATGGTTCAGAACCCGAATTTTCCATAAAAAAACACCCAATCTGAATCTTTTCCCGGATTTTCCTCCCACATTCCCACCTTTCCATGGATCCAGCGGAATTCCGGTCTCACCTGAGGCTGCAGAGCAGCTCCTGGAATTTGGGCTTGGAGGAGCCCTTTGGAATGGGAAGGTTTCGCTTCCCGGAAACGGCTCAGAACCCGTATTTTCCATAAAAAAACCCCCAATCTGAATCTTTTCCCGGATTTTCCTCCCACATTCCCACTTTTCCATGGAATTCCAGTCTCACCTGAGGCTGCAGAGCAGCTCCTGGAATTTGGACTTGGAGGAGCTGTGGAGACCCTTTGGAATGGGAATGTTTTGCTTCCCGGAAACGGTTCAGAACCCGAATTTTCCATTAAAAAAAACCCCAATCCGAATCTTTTCCCGGATTTTCCCCCCACATTCCCACTTTTCCATGGAATTCCAGTCTCACCTGAGGCTGCAGAGCAGCTCCTGGAATTTGGGCTTGGAGGAGCCCTTTGGAATGGGAATGTTTCGCTTCCCGGAAACGGCTCAGAACCCGTATTTTCCATAAAAAAACCCCCAATCTGAATCTTTTCCCGGATTTTCCTCCCACATTCCCACTTTTCCATGGAATTCCAGTCTCACCTGAGGCTGCAGAACAGCTCCTGGAATTTGGGCTCGGAGGATTCTTTTGGAATGGGATGTTTTGATGTTTTGCTTTCCGGAAACGGTTCAGAATCCGAATTTTCCATTAAAAAAACCCCAATCCAAAGATTTTCCCGGATTTTCCCCCCCACATTCCCGCCTTTCCATGGATCCAGCGGAATTCCGGTCTCACCTGAGGCTGCAGAGCAGCTCCTGGAATTTGGGCTTGGAGGAGCCCTTTGGAATGGGAATGTTTCGCTTCCCGGAAACGGCTCAGAACCCGAATTTTCCATAAAAAACCCCCCAGATTTTCCCGGAATTTTCCCCCCACATTCCCGCTTTCCCATGGAATTCCGGTCTCACCTGAGGCTGCAGACCAGCTCCTGGAACCTGGGCCGTTCCCCGGGATCGTAGTCCCAGCAGCGCGTCAGGAGCGCGTAGAGCGGGGGCGGGCAGCGCTCGGGCTTGGGGAGCCGGTCCCCCTTTTCCAGGACTCCGATCACATCCCGGTTTTCCAGCCAGAAGAACGGCTGCTTCCCGAAACTCAGGATCTCCCACACGCACACGGCTGCGGGGGGCGGCCGAGGGAGATCAGAGAGACGGGAATTCCGCGGGAATTCCGGGGGAATTCCGGGAAAATTCTGGGGGAATTCTGGGGAATTTTGGGGGAATTCCGGGGAATTTTGGGGGAATTCTGGGAAAATTCCGGGGAATTTTGGGGGAATTCTGGGGGATTCCGGGGAATTTTGGGAAAAATCCTGGAAATTCTGGGAAAATTCCGGGGAATTCCGGTGAATTTCGGTGAATTCTGGGGGATTCTGGGGAATTTTGGGAAAATTCCGGGAAATTCTGGGAAATTCTGGGAAAATTACAGGGAATTCTGGGGAAATTCCAGGGAATTCTGGGGGAATTCTGGGGAAATTCCGGGGAATTTTGGGAAATTCTGGGGAATTTTGGGAAAATTACAGGGAGTTCTGGGAAAATTCCGGGGAATTCTGGGAAAATTCTGGGGAATTCTGGGAAAATTCCAGGGAATTCCAGGGAATTTGGGGGAATTCTGGGGGATTCTGGGGAATTTCAGGAAAATTCCTGGAAATTCTGGGAAAATTCCAGGGAATTCCGGGAAATTTTGGTGAATTCTGGGGGATTCTGGGGAATTTTGGGAAAATTCCTGGAAATTCTGGGAAAATTCTGGGAAATTCTGGGAAAATTCCAGGGAATTCTGGGGAAATTCCAGGGAATTCTGGGGAATTCTGGGGAAATCTGGGGAATTTTGGGAAAATTCCAGGGAATTTCAGGAAAATTCTGGGAAATTCTGGGAAAATTACAGGGAATTCCAGGGAATTTGGGGGAATTCTGGGGGATTCTGGGGAATTTCAGGAAAATTCCTGGAAATTCTGGGAAAATTCTGGGAAATTCTGGGAAAATTCTGGGAAATTCTGGGAAAATTACAGGGAATTCTGGGGAAATTCCAGGGAATTCTGGGGGAATTCTGGGGAATTCTGGGGAATTCCCAGAAAATTCTGGGGAATTCTGGGGAATTCTGGGGGAATTCTGGGGAATTTGGGGGAATTTTGGGGAATTCTGGGAAAATTCTGGGGAATTCCAGGAAAATTCTGGGGAATTCCAGGAAAATTCTGGGGAATTCCAGGGAATTTTAGTGAATTCTGGGGGATTCCGGGGAATTCCGGGGGATTCCGGGGAATCGGGGCCTTCCCATGGGTGTTTGGGTGTTGTTGAGTCCGGAGGGGGCGGTTTTTTAGGGATGGGGTTTTTAGGGATGGGGTTTTTAGGGATTGGGGTTTTAGGGACTGGGGTTTTTAGGGATTGGGTTTTTAGGGATTGGGGATTTTTAGGGATGGGGATTTTAGGGATGAGGTTTTTAGGGATGGTGTTTTTTGGGATTGGAGTTTTATGGATTGGGGATTTTTAGGGATGGGGTTTTTAGGGATTGGGGTTTTTAGGGATTGGGATTTTTAGGGATTGGGGTTTTTAGGGATTGGGATTTTTAGGGATTTGGATTTTAGGGATTGGGGATTTTAGGGATGGGGATTTTAGGAATGAGGTTTTTAGGGATGGGGTTTTTTGGGATTGGAGTTTTATGGATTGGGGATTTTTAGGGATGGGGTTTTAAGGGATTTGGGTTTTTTGGGATGTTTGGAGTTTTTAGGGATGTTTGGAGTGGGGAGAGTGGAATTCATCCCAAAAATTCCAAGAAATCCCTGGATGAGGAGGAGGAAGGGCCTGGTGGTGGGGGGATGGGAGCCCTTCCCAAGGATGGATTATCCCAGGGAAAAAAAACATTGGGATAATCCGGAATTCCGGAGCGGGATTTGTCCTTGTGGATGGTGTGGGAAAGGGATCGATCCCGGGATCCCGATCCCACCCCACGGGAAAGGGATCGATCCCGGGATCCCGATCCCACCCCACGGGAAAGGGATCGATCCCGGGATCCTGATCCCACCCCAGGGAAAAGGGATCGATCCCGAGATCCCGATACCACCCCAGGGAAAAGGGATCGATCCCGGGATCCCGATCCCACCCCACGGGAAAGGGATCAATCCCGGGATCGATTTTCCATGGGAGCCATGGGAAAGGGATGAATTCCAGGATCCCATTCTGAATCCCGGGATCCCGATCCGTGCCATGGGAATTGGATCAATCCCGGATCCCGGCCCATGGGAATGCTCCCAATCCCGGATCCCGGCCCATGGGAATCGGATCAATCCCAGATCCCGGCCCATGGGAATTGGATCAATCCCAGATCCCGCCCCACGGGAATCAGATCAATCCCAGATCCCAGCCCATGGGAATGCTCCTGATCCCGGATCCCGGCCCGTGGGAATGCTCCCGATCCCGGATCCCGGCCCACGGGAATTGGATCAATCCCAGATCCCGGCCCACGGGAATTGGATCAATCCCAGATCCCGGCCCATGGGAATTGGATCAATCCCAGATCCCGGCCCACGGGAATTGGATCAATCCCGGATCCCGGCCCACGGGAATGCTCCCGATCCCGGATCCCGGCCCACGGGAATCAGATCAATCCCGGATCCCGGTCCATGGGAATCGGATCAATCCCAGATCCCGGCCCACGGGAATCGGATCAATCCCAGATCCCGGCCCACGGGAATCAGATCAATCTCGGATCCCGGCCCATGGGAATGCTCCCGATCCCGGATCCCGGCCCACCCCGGGATCCCAGCACGCACCGAACATCCAGACGTCGCTGGCGGTGGTGAAGCGTCGGAAGTTGATGGATTCCGGCGCCATCCACTTGATGGGAAGGCGGCTGACGGAAGCTGGAAGGATCCGGGAATGCTCCAGATCCCGGGGATCTTCCCCCGGCTGCGTAGGGATCCCCGGGAGCCCCGACCCCACCGGATCCCACCGGATCCCACCGGATCCCACCTTTGTAGTACTCCTCGTCCTCGATGTAGCGGGAGAGGCCGAAGTCTCCCAGCTTGACGCATTCCGGGGAGGCCACCAGGACGTTCCGCACGGCGATGTCCCTGCCGGAATAACGGGAATTATAACGGGAATTCCGGGGATTGGGAGAGCGGGGCGGGGTAGGGGATAGGGGGAGAGGGGATCATGGGATTGGGGGATAACGGGATAATGGGATAATGGGATAACGGTGATGGGATCATGGGATCATGGGATAATGGGATAACGGTGATGGGATAATGGGATAATGGGATAATGGGATAATGGGATAACGGTGATGGGATAATGGGATCATGGGATATTGGATAATAGGATCATGGGATAATGGGATATGGGATAATGGGATATGGGATAATGGGATATGGGATAATGGGATGGGATTGGGATGGGATAATGGGATAATGGGATAATGGGATATGGGATATGGGATAATGGGATAATGGGATAATGGGATAACGGTGATGGGATGGGATAATGGATTATGGGATCATGGGATAATGGGATATGGGATAATGGGATGGGATTGGGATGGGATAATGGGATATAATNCTCCGTCCCTCCCATCCCGGAATTATTATCCCATCCCGGAATTATCCCATCCCAGAATTATCATCCCATCCCGGAATTATCATCCCATCCCGGAATTCCCCCATCCCGAATCCCGCTTCCCTCACCGATGGACGCAGCTGAGCGCCTCCAGGTAGGCCAGGGCCTTCCCCACCTGCAGCGCGTACAGCACCAGCCTGGGCACCGCCAGCTCCGCCCGACGACGCTCCAGAAACTGCCCCAGCTGCGGCATTCCCGCCCGGATCAGCCCCCGGAATTCCCGAGGGAACTCCGGGAAAGGCCGCCGGGAGAGGCGGGAAAGGGGGGTCGCACCTCTCCGTAGGGATAGAGCTCCATGACGATCCAGGTGGGCTCGTCCTCGGTGATGCCGATGAGTTTGACGATGTGGGGGTGGTCCAGCTTCTTCATCAGCACTGCGGGGGAAGGTGGGGTTCCCAGCTGGGATCATCAGGATTCCCGGGATTCCAAGCTGGGATCATCGGGATTCCAGGGATTCCAAGCTGGGATCATCGGGATTCCAGGGATTCCCAGCTGGGACCATCGGGATTCCCGGGATTCCCAGCTGGGACCATCGGGATTCCCGGGATTCCCAGCTGGGATCATCGGGATTCCCGGGATTCCCAGCTGGGATCATCGGGATTCCCGGGATTCCCAGCTGGGATCATCGGGATTCCCAGCTGGGACCATCGGGATTCCCGGGATTCCCAGCTGGGATCATCGGGATTCCACGGGATTCCCAGCTGGGATCATCGGGATTCGGGCTCGTCCTCGGTGATGCCGATGAGTTTGACGATGTGGGGGTGGTCCAGCTTCTTCATCAGCACTGCGGGGGAAGGTGGGGTTCCCAGCTGGGATCATCGGGATTCCCAGCAGGGATCATCGGGATTCCCGGGATTCCCAGCTGGGACCATCGGGATTCCCGGGATTCCCAGCTGGGACCATCGGGATTCCCGGGATTCCCAGCTGGGACCATCGGGATTCCCGGGATTCCGGGATGAATCCCGACCCGGGGCAGGGGGGTGGAGGAGTTGTTTTGGGGTTGTTCCCAAAGGGGTCGTTGGGGGTTGTTGGGATTTTAGGGATCGGGATCCACATCCAGGGGTTCCAGCAGGTTCCCATCCAATAATCCCGTCCCGGGATCCGGGGGGTGGGATTGGGATCCTGTCCCGGGTTTCCGGGCCTGGATCCGATCCCTTTTCCTCCATCCTGAATTCCAAAGGCCCCTTGTTCCCAAAAAGCCACCGGGAGATGCCGGGACAAGGTTGTGTCACCCTCCGCTCCGAGCACTGAGCAGGATCTTATCCCAAAAAAACACCCACAGGACCCTCGGGATCCCGAAAAACACCAGGAGGAAACTTGGGATCCCAAAAAACACCAGGAGGACCCTCAGGATCCCAAAAAACACCAGGAGGACCCTCAGGATCCCAAAAAAATTCCAGGAAGAAACTTGGGATCCCAAAAAACTCCCACCAGGACCCTTGAGATCCCAAAAACCCCTGGCAGGACTCTCAGGATCCCAAAAAATTCCCACCAGGACCCTCAGGATCCCAAAAAACCTTGGCAGAACCCTCAGGATCCCGGAAAATCCTGGCAGGACCTTCAGGAACCCAAAAAAAACCCTAACAGGACCCTCAGGATCCCAAAAATCCCCACCAGGACCCTCAGAATCCCAAAAATCCCCAGCAGGACCCTCAGGATCCCAAAAAATCCCCATTAGGACCCTCAGGATCAAAAAAATCTCCAGCAGGATCCCAGAAAATTCCCACCAGGACCCTCAGGATCCCAAAAATTCCCACCAGGACCCTCAGGATCCCCAAAAATCCATCAGAATCCCAAAAAATTCCCACCGGGAACCCTCAGGATCCAAAAAATCTCCAGCAGGACCCTCAGGATCCCAAAAATCCCCAGCAGGACCCTCAGGATCCCCAAAAATCCATCAGAATCCCAAAAACCCCCCACCAGGACCCTCAGAATCCCAAAAAAACCCAATAGGACCCTTGGGATCCCAAAAAACCCCAGTAGGACCCTCAGGATCCCAAAAATCCCTGACAGGACCCTCAGGATCCCAAAAAATCCCCACCAGGACCCTCAGGATCCCAAAAATCTCCAGCAGGATCCCAGAAAATTCCCACCAGGACCCTCAGGATCCCAAAAAATCCATCAGAATCCCAAAAAATTCCCACCAGGACCCTTGGAATCCCAAAAATCCCTGTCAGGACCCTTAGAATCCCAAAAATCTCCACCAGGACCCTCGGAATCCCAAAAAATCCCCAGCAGGATCCCAAAAATTCCACCAGGACCCTCAGAATCCCAAAAAACCCCACCAGGACCCTCAGGATCCCAAAAATCTCCAGCAGGATCCCAAAAATTCCCACCAGGACCCTCAGAATCCCAAAAAAACCATCAGAATCCAAAAAAATCCCCACCAGGACCCTCAGGATCCCAAAAAATCCATCAGAATCCAAAAAAATTCCCACCAGGACCCTCAGGATCCAAAAAAACCCTGGCAGGACCCTCAGGATCCCAGAAAACCCTTGCCGGACCCTCAGGATCCCAAAAATCTCCAGCAGGACCCTCAGGATCCCAGAAAATCCATCAGAATCCCAAAAAATCCCCACCAGGACCCTCAGAATCCCAAAAAACCCCAGCAGGACCCTCAGGATCACAAAAATCCCCAGTAGGACCCTCAGGATCCCAAAAAATCCCTCAGGATCCCAAAAAACCCTGGCCGGACCCTCAGGATCCCAAAAATCTCCAGCAGGACCCTCAGGATCCCAAAAAATCCATCAGAATCCCAAAAAATCCCCACCAGGACCCTCAGGATCCCAAAAAACCCCAGCAGGACCCTCAGGATCCCCAAAAACCCCAGCGGGATCCCAAAAAATCCCCAGCAGGACCCCAAAACTCCCCAGCAGGATCCCAAAAACCCCACGGGAATTCCGGGAATACCGGCTTCGCTGAGGAATTTCTCCCGGTTTTCCGGGCTGCAATCCTTCTTGCAGGTCTTGACGGCCACGTCCACGCGCTCCCCGCCCTGCCGGGAGGAGGGAAAAGCGGGAATGCCGCATCCCAAATCCCGGATTTCGGCCCGGCGGGGGTCGGGGAGAAGGGCGGGAATCTCACGGGAGCGGTGTAGATTCCCTGGAAAACCTCTCCGAAGAATCCTTCTCCCAGGATGCGGCCCAGGGCGACGGCGTCGCGGGAGATTCCGAAGGGTTGGGCTGCGGGGAGG